CACCAAAGACTTCTCTTTACTCCTGAAATGTAAAAGGACAGCGACCCATACTTGCCCTTGGCATGATTACTAGCAATTCATACCCATCACAGTCAGCACTGCATTTCTAAATATTACCTTATCTGTAATATTCAGCGGAAGAGCAGCTTGGAAAATGAAGCCATTATTGCGTAGGTGTACAAATTTGCACAACAACTTATACTTCTTATCAGTTAGATGGGTATTAAGGTATTGGGCCTGACTCATGCTGTATCCCTTTGACATCGCCCAAGTAGCCCAAATAAGGATGAAAGCTGGCTGCAAAGAACCAGTTGGGAAGACCCCCAAACTTTATTTCAGGATACTATATACCAAGAATTATAGCAGATGTACATAGAAACATAGAATCATAGAATAGTTAGGGTTGGAAAGGACCTTAAGATCATCAAGTTCTAGCCCCCCTGCCATGGGCAGGGACACCTCGCTCTAAACCATATCACCCAAGGCCTCGTCCAACCTGGCCTTGAACACTGCCAGGGCTGGAGCATTCAAAACCTCCCTGGGCAACCCATTCCAGTGCCTCATCACCCTCACAGGAAAGAATTTCCTCCTTATATCCAACCTAAACTTCCCCTGTTTAAGTTTTAACCTGTTACCCCTTGTCCTATCACTACAGTTCCTAATGAATAGTCCCTCCCCAGCATCCTTATAGGCCCCCTTCAGATACTGGAAGGCTGCTATGAGGTCTCCACGCAGTCTTCTTTTCTCCAGGCTCAACAGCCCCAACTTTCTCAGCCTGTCTTCATATGGGAGGTGCTCCAGTCCCCTGATCATTCTTGTGGTCCTCCTCTGGACTTGTTCCAACAGATCCATGTCCTTTTTATGTTGAGGACACCAGAACTGCACACAATACTCCAAGTGAGGTCTCACGAGAGCAGAATAAAGGGGCAGGATCACCTTCTTCAACCTGCTGGTCATGCTCCTTCTGATGCAGCCCACGATACGGTTGGCTTTCTGGGCTGCAAGCGCACACTGCCAGCTCATGTTCATTTTCTCATCAACCAACACTCCCAAGTCCTTCTCCACAGGGCTACTCTGAATCTCTTCTCTGCCCAGCCTGTAGGTGTGCCTGGGATTGCTCCGACCCAGGTGTAGGACCTTGCACTTGGCATCGTTAAACTTCAAGAAGTTGGCATCAGCCCACCTCACAAGCGTGTCAAGGTCCCTCTGGATGGCATTCCTTCCCTCCAGTGTATCAACCGAACCACACAGCTTAGTGTCATCGGCAAACTTGCTGAGGGCGCACTCAATCCCACTGTCCATGTCACCGACAAAGATGTTGAACAAGACCGGTCCCAATGGCGATCCCTGAGGGACACCACTCGTTACTGGTATTCGGTCTATCAGTCTCGAAGACCAAGAAGAACACCAGGGAAATAGGCAGTCAGTATTAAATCATGGACAGTCACATACGCTGTCCTGCCGACCAGCACCAATATTTCCTGTGGGTTCCAACATCTTTACAGACAAAGTAACTGAACTTCAATAGTAGCTAATGAGTCCAGTCTCTTTTGGATGTTCTGAGATGCGGGATGCGGTCGTGTTCTGAGCACACTATACTTTACACTCCCATGGGAAGAGCAAACAGCATTCTTCTAAATGAACCACGGTAGGACCCCACAAAAAAAAAAATCAAAATCCTAAGCTAATTAATTAAAACAGTACTTAATCATACAAAGCGCTTCTGCATCCAACTACTCAAAATACTAATTCCTTAACCCCTGAAATACCTTTGTGAATATATCCTTTTTATTTTCATTTCATAAGAGGGGAGATGGATGCTTGGAGAAACTATATATTTCCAGGAACTACAGAGTCAGATCCTGTAGCTTCTTGATCTAAAACAGACACCAGGGAACCAGCTGCCAACTGGGAGATCCCCCTCCTGCCTCTTCGGTGACTTTGCATAGACTCAGTACAGAATTGAGACAGAGATTAGTGACATAAATAAATACAGAAGAAAATATCAGATTTTTCCAGCTAGTAGAAGGAGCTTAGTGATTTTCTTATGATGCAGAGTCCCAGGCTCTTGGAATAAGGGTTCCACAAAAGGTAGCACAGAAAACAAGTCTCACATCACTGGCTTTCAATATAGAAACTTTGAGAACCCACTGAATGAGGCTGCCCAGGGAGGTTGTGAATGCTCCATCCCTTGCAGTTTTCAAGACCAGGTTAGACGAAGCCTTTCGGTGATATGGTTTAGTGTGGGGTGTCCCTGCCCATGGCAGGGGTGTTGGAACTTGATGATCTTAAGGTCCTTTCCAACCCTAACTATTCTATGATTCTATGATTATAGTTTGTGTCCTGATAACAGTAAGAACTTAACCTCTTTTTTTATCGTTTAACATCCTAGCATTCAAAACCTACAAAATGAATAGGTGTGCTTCTACATTTCATGACACATAGTTCATTTCGGAATTCTGACATTGAACATTCAAGGTTTCTCCTGCTTTGCTCAAGACAGCAGGGTTACGTTGTTTCATGGGATTTTCCCTAAGCATCAGTCTAAACACCAAACACGTCTGGGCGTAACATAGTCTTCTTGAATGACACAATTTAATGAAACTTTCAGGGTGCAAGTCTTCACAATGACTCCATCCATAATCGAAACACTTGGTGCAGAACACAGCCTCTGAATTTGAGCTGCAGTGACAACATGGGCAGTACAGCCAACAAGGAGGGAAAAGAAAGGATACATATGACCATTTCAATCACACACTTGACAGCACAGAGTTTTGATAAATGCTTTGTTATTCCCACAGTTTTATAATTGACCTTTAATTCCTTCAAAGAAGAACTGTAGTCATAATCTGTTCAGCTTTGGGGAGTTCAAGAGAAAAGCATACACATTAAGTGTATGGAAGTATACAGGCCCTTAATAATAGAATCATAGAATCACAGGATCATAGAATCATAGAACCATAGAATCATAGAATAGTTAGAGTTGGAAAGCACCTTAAGAACATCAAGTTCCAGCCCCCCTGCCATGGGCAGGGACACCTCGCACTAAATCATGTCACTCAAGGCCTCATCTAACCTGGCGTTGAACACTGCCAGGGATGGAGCATTTACAACCTTCCTGGGTAACCTATTCCAGTGCCTCACCACCCAAACAGGAAAGAATTTCCTCCTTATAGCCAATCTAAACTTCCCCTGTTTAAGTTTTAACCCATTACCCCTTGTCCTGTCACTATAGTAAATAATAACATGCTTGCCTTTACTAATGTGATTTTATTTTTTTTCAGCCCTGAACTGGTCAAACAGTTGGACTAAATGATTATTGTAGGTGCTTTCCAAATGAAATAACTATTGTGTTCTACAGTGAGCTACAGACTCCAGGGCAGGCAGCCTGGTGCCTCAGTCCAGCTAGGCAGCTGGGCATCTGCACTGGTGAAGCAACAATTCTCGACTAATGGGACTGGGGAGGGAAGGGAACTTTTTTCCCCTATAAATCCCCATTACAGAGCATGCCTCCTTGCAATGATAATAAAAGGGAAACTAAGCCTGCACTCTGTAGGCTCTTAGACTCTTCTATCCAAAAGAGCCCTGACACTAGCAGCAGCATTAGCTCATACTTTGCACATCATGCAGGTTAATGGGGCCAACCTTCTAAATGAAGTATCAAGACAAGCCTTACTGGGCTGAGAAACTCATCTTTTTCTGAAAATTATAAAATTGAATAGCTTTCTGTCGATCCCAATGGCAGTTTTCGGGGACTCCGTCCATTTATATAGACTATAAGATAATTCTCAGCCAGTACTAAGCTAAATATACATATTTCTAAATCAAAACAACTTCAAAGATGTGTCACACACAAGACTGAGTCCAAGCCAAGTTAGAACTGTGGATTAAAAAGACATTTTCAAAAGGTGTATGTGTAAAAGGCCAAAAAATATTTCTCAGTTCACAAAATAAAATTTACATTTTGGTTACTTTTTACCTTGGCAGATAGATCATTCAAAGGAAGGCAAAGCCACACATCTAAGAGCATGCATAAGGAGCACTCAATGGAGTTCTTCCTCAATTTCAGTGCTTTAGTCATTACTTAACATCAACAGCTTCCACAGTTTTTTCCTGAACTATTATCTTCATGTTTCCTATATCCACCATTTTTGTGAAGTACATCTTTAAAAACAATCTGTCACGGTATGTAATTAGTGTTGCCTTTTTTGCCAAACCACTGTGGGGAGAGAATTTTATCCTTTATCCAGTCTGGAAGTACTCACAGGACAGACAGCAACTGAATAAAGACCTGAGCAGTAGCTGTGAATTTTACTGTTGCAATACTATGAAGTTAAGCTTTCTTGAAAATGTGTTTGTTGGTTTTTTTTTTTTTTTTTAGGGATGGGCATGAAGGAGAGGAACATTACAGGAGTTTCTGTAATTTAATACTTCAGAGATGAATAGTAGAGCACATCTTCAAGTACTTGTCTCCAAATCAATGCTTCCTTGCTTCTAAGGTAGAGGCAGGGAATGTTTTATTCACAATAGTTCAGAAATCACTGAATTCAGCTCAAATGACAAAACTTTTGGAATATGTACTTTACTTAAGCTTTGAACCTGCTAAAAACTCGTAGGATTTACACACTGCAGAAAAAAAGGATCTTCAGCTCCTAAAATAGTCAACCTCTATTATATTCTAAAATTTGCTGTCATTATAGTAAATGAAAATCTTTCTCAATCCCAAACATTTCAGTCAGTTGAAAGTGGGTTATGGGGTGGGGGGCAAGGAAGACATCTCATACAATCAGCATCAATTGTATGGGGTTTACGGGGCACTAGGAAAAATCTAGGAATAATTCAAACCTTAGAGCAGTATCTCTCTGCACAGAGGCAACAAATATTTGATGAACTCTTCTAATTCTGTAGAAAGTGTTTTGTGATGCACATCAGTGAAAGAGGTCTTTGCTGCCTTCATTTGCTCAGGGCAACAAGAACAAAATACTAAAACCAACAAATACAAACTTTCAGTGGTCTTTATTAAGACTTCCATATTTACATGTCCAGAACAAACCTGAAAAGCTCTCTTCTACATTGCCCAGAGGAAAAAGAAGAGGTAAGAGTTAAGACTGTTTTGAATGTTAGAACTCTACCCTCTGTAGCTGTTGCTATCTACCAGCTCTTATGCCCATGGCACTAGTTGCATGATATTTGGTAAGTTTGCTTATTACTTGATTTAGTCCAAATTAGCTCTGCATGGGATAAAAGACAGTAGACCTGCTGGGAAAAAAAACCCACAGTAATTAGAAATTTTGAGATGTTGAAGATCAGACTGATACTCTTCAGAAAGAATACTTACCAGGCTGAAGAAAGCCTTCACTCATTTTCCAAAATTACAAGTATTGAATAAGGTTCATTGACCATAATAAAAGTGAGAACAGTTTTTTACTGTTCTAATGTGACAAAGAAAGCTGTGATGTTCTACTGGAAAGCAAAAAAATGTAGTTCTATGTTATGTACAATATAAAATTAAGTACAGCAGAATTATGCAGCATGTTGTCCCTTAAGCACCAATAAACATCAAGTGTTTTCACAAATGGAACAATAGCATCCATTTTGTTGTCTCACAATACATATACTGCATAATTAAAATCACTGGAAGAGGAAAACTCTGTTCTGTAAAAGCAGTGCAGATAAGTGACATTCATAATACCCACCATGCAGCCCATTAACCTCAGCAATTTTAAGCAGTGTCACAGTCATCCATGGCATTTCAGATTTCTCACAGCTTCAAATCTGTGGGCAGCTTCACAAGCTTTTTGCAAAGTTTCTCATGACTAGGACATCTGTAAAATTCCCTCCAGACCTTTCTTCAATTCATCTCTTGTTACACAGCCAGTAATTCACATCTTTATCCTTATGATAAAGGTACATAATACCACGCTCTAATAAACACGGTATCTTTTCTAAAAAAGTAATTGAAAATTTTAGGTGCTATAAGGTATTAAAAGTGTACTGTTTCTTAATCTTACCTTTTTTCTCCCATTTCAATGTTGCTTTTTGATGAGGAGCATTCTCAGCTGAGTCTCATAGTGAGGAATGAAAAAAAACATCAATATTCTGGTTTTTACCAACTAATCCACCATTTAACATAGGTGCCTCCAAAGGTTTTAGCAACTTCACTATTTAGGTGAAAAGAACTGTAGATATATTTTATAGTCATACGAAACATTGCTACATTGCCCGTTGTGTTGCTTAGAGACAACAGCTCAAAGCAGAACCCTAAAATATTCAAGAACTTACAGTATTGCTTGAAAATCAGTGGCTAGTATTTTAATGTCCTGGTTTCATATTTTGTATAAGTTCTTTTCAATCCAGAAGACAGCACAGGGAATTTCACTTCTCTTTAGGTAAATAGCCATTGAAAGTTGTCTCTTTTGGTTTTTAATTTCCATTTAGTTACTGCTGAGTTTGGTCTCTCTCCTGAGGTTCACTTGCCAAAAACTTTTGTTATTCAATAACTGTGACAGAAAGACTGCTTCACTGTCAACTTCTCTTCCTGGATGCGTACTCAGGATATACAGGAAAGGATAGAAGTGGGATGCCTATTTTGGCACAGTGGGTTTTGTTCATTTCTTTAATATATAGAGGAAAGAAATTGGTGCATCTTCGTTAATTCTGATCTCATGAAACTGGTATTGTTTTTGTGCATGGAATTGATTCAGATTTTATCATCAAAATTGAGACAGAATTGCTGTAAGACACCTTTCGGTTATGCCTCTTACAATGTACTTGCAGTCCTGCTTCTTTGACATAAATACTTTCACGTTTCCAATACAGGTATGTTGAAGAGACCTATCTGAAGAAACAGATGATGTTGATGTTAAAGAAATTCAGAAATCAGCATGCATAGAAGAGGATGTCAGATCTTCCTCTCTAGCTGGCAGTGCTCAATAATGTTGCACTACATAACTCAATGTAATATAATGTGAAAAAGATATTTATATCCTCAGAGCATGTTAGTGTCTAAGAAAGAAATATAAAATACATTGGATCTTATAGCCCAAGGCATATACCCGATTTGCATTAGTGTTAGAGGAGAAGCGGCAATATATGCACTCTCCTAGAAGTCCAATCCTACCTATTCAGCTTGCTATTCACCTTGTGTGATGGAGACTCTAGATATAGAGCCTCGAAATGGCATATGAGTGGACAGCTTTAACTGGTCTGGTTTACTTATAAAGAGCCCTGTGTCTGAGCTATTTTAGGGTTTGGAGTTTATGGGTCAGGCTTCAAATTCCTGAATTTTTAAGGGCTAAGGTGTTTCTAGTCTCATGAACAGGGAAAAAAAAAAAACCCACCAAATTTGTGAATTTGTGATCTGAATACAATATGGGAAAGACAGTTGCTTTAGATCTTGGTTGTACTACACAACTGTTGTGGTTTAAGTGAAGTCAGTAACTCAGACCCACGCAGCCCACTCTCTCACTCCCCCCATTCCTTCCCCCCCCCACCCCAGCCCTGCTCCCAGAGGGATGGGGAGGAGAATCCGAAGAATGTAATTCCCACAGGTTGAGATAAGAACAGTTTAGTAACTAAGGTATAACACAAACCACTGCTGCTACCACCAATAATAATAATGATAAGGGAAATAACAAGGGAAGAGAATACAATACCACCCATTGATGCCCAGACTGACCGAGCAGTGGACTAGCCCTTCCGGGTAATTCTCAGTTACATCCTGGGCATGATGTGCTGTGGTATGGAATACCCCTTTGTCTAGTTTGGGTCAGGTGTCCTGTCTCTGCTTCCTCCCAGCTTCCCCTCCTCCCTGGCAGAGCATGAGATTCAGAAAGTCCTTGGTCAGACTAAACTTTACTAAGCAGCAAGTAAAACCATCGGTGTTATCAGCACTGTTCCCAGGCTGAAAGCAAAAAACACAGCACTGCACCAGCTACTAAGAAGGAGAAAAACTGACTGCTACTGCTGAACCCAGGACAAAACTAAATTTGTTAAACTAAATTTGTAGTGGCTCACCTCAAGGGGATAGTCATAATTTATCAACTCCTAGCGAACACAGGCACCAAATGGCTTAGCGTGCTTTATTACAGCTATGCCATGCCAAGCCCCGCTATGCCATCCAGGTTTTTTTGGTCTGGCAGCTCTTGTACTCTCTATATTGGCCCTAGACTAACCACACGTTTTGACAGTGATACCCTAAGTCTCCAGGGATTTCTGGAAAAAGGCTCTCCAGAAGCTGTTTGAGCCGCAGTGTCATCAGCCATGCTGCAAAGCCCGTGGAGCCCTGCAGAATGCTGGGGTGACGGCTGCAGCACCACCCTCCACTCTCTGCAGCTCCCACGGATGCCTGAGCTCCGCTCCACAGCCCACGGGGGTACTCTGAGTCACAACTTGAAACGTAAAACCTCCATCTGCAAGAGGGTTCCTTCTCTGCAGCTATGGGAAATGATATTCTGACTAGAGGAAAAAAAGAGAAGCCAGGCTTTCACCTGAGTAATGACACTGTAGCCCATCTCCCAGGTCCTCAGTCAGCTCCCTGTTTGATTTAAACTTCTACAAAATGGGGGGAAATTTCATATTTGCTTGATGTGTAAGAGATGACACTTCAAACTGAAGACAAATAATACAGAGAAACATATTTTTGTACTTTTTAACGTACACCAGAGGTGTCTACAAGTCACGTTTTTCCCCCAAAGGGAACTGTAAATGAACTAAACACTAAGAATATGTTTGATAAAACAGAGTATCCAAATTTGTAAGATACACTTTCTAAAGGTCATTTTTTGTAATGTTACACTGATCAACACCTGATTAAATTGCCTGCTGCTCTGAATTTAATGAGAGACTGAAAATTCTCAATGGTAATTGGGACAGTCAATTCTTTAAAGAGAAAAAGTGAGTGGGTAGCTATTGAGACACAGAAGAAAGCTTATTAGTGTGGAGGTGGAAGATATCCTTACTGAGAAAAACAATTAGAGACTATTTTATTTAGAAAAAAATTGGATTTTTGTTTGTGCTATTTCTCTGGAGCCCTAGAAACGGTATCAATCCTATAATGGGAGGGGCAAAAATAAAGAAATAAAAGGAAGAAAAACTCTAACCAATAAGCTAACACTCTCTCCTGCCTATAATTGCATACTGCATGTTAAATTTAATGATTTCACATTTTTCAGTGTAAAAGATCTGCAATTATTGTCAGGAATTTCCCAAGTTATTTGTGTCTTCCCCTGTTTTTTCTCAAAACTAAAAAGTTTGCAATTCCAAACAAAGCCATTCTCAGGAAACCCAAATACCCATAAAGATGTAAAGACAAAGATGGTAAATGGTTATTTAGATATAAATGGTAATAAGATGGTAAATGACTATTTTGAAAACTACAAAACCACAACATTAAGAAATATGAAATAATTTTAGCTTAATAAATAATATAAAGTCCCATAAAGGCACTAGGCATTATTTATGCTTTTGCAATAGATACCAAAAAGTTTTACTGGGGATTGAAATGGCACTAGATGAAACTATTGTTAAGTATCTGGCTCAGATGTGCATTGGGAACGCAATGATAAAGGGATAGTTCTTATTAAAATGACTGCACATTTTTAAATCATAATCAAATTTTTTTACTGCCTTACAGTCCATTTCAAGCAAATATTATTTAAAAGAAATCCCATGAACTGCATTTTATAAAAGATCAATCAGGGCAATTGCAATAGACCTTTTGGGTTCATAATCAGCAGACTTACTGATATTTTTGTCTTTAAACCTCCAACTCCATCTTTAATATCCATACTTTACCCTGACTGCAAAATGCATATCAAAGGTCCAAACTGACTTATTTGAAATTAAAAAGTGCCATGAAAGTGAAATTTTCATTTATATAAAAAACAAACAAACAAACAAAAAAGAGTAAACACTTAAGACCCTGTTTAAAATATATTACTGAAAAATGGGAACTCAGTAGTTCAGAATTAAAGGGAAAAAAATAGCATGAGGAAAAACTTTTACATCTGGTTTAGTTCTGTGAAATAATGAGTCCAGCTGTCAGGAGCTATGATGAGTCTGGTCACAGTCAGGAGGACCACACAAGCACCTGAGCAGAAAAATGCTCTTTCAGAAGCTGTATTTGATGTTCCTGGTCCATTCTGTGCCAGAAGCGTGCCAAAATACAGATGAATTGTGATTCTAGACTGGGATTAAAATCTGTCCTTAAACGTATGACTGCAGTTTGATGCTCAGTTGAAAGGCTGACTTGTTTTCCAGTTCCCAATTTCCTTTTCCTTCAGAGCAGGTATTTTATTTAAAGACATATCTGGCTGGATAAAAAGGACAGACAACAACTCTTATTTATCAGTCTGGCATAAAATGTTTAACAAGGCACTGGGAGAGTGGCAATATGAGCAAAATAAACAGCAAACTCAAGCTATATAAGCATCGGAAAAGACAGAAGCATGAGCAACCACCACCATGAGCAACCTGTCCACTGCTTCCAAGAAGCCAGGAGAAATGGTCTTCAGTAAAATGTTATTTTTCTATTTTAAGAGAAAACAAGTGAAGGTTCAGGCAATTCCCCCCAGGTCTATTAGTATTTACAATGGAGGCAGACATGGTCTCCTGCTCAAGGAGAATAGCGGAGGGGGAGAGCTCCAACAGCTTTGAGCAGAAGAGAGGCTTTACAGCACTGTCATTATTACGTGCAGTGAGAATGGACTTAATTGCTAATTATGGCATATTAATGCTAGTGCATTATAAGTTTTTATAAATGATTATTTATTTATTTTTTTTTAATTAAAAATGCCCAGGCACATCTGCACTTTCAGATTGCCTACAAAAGGGTTTCAGGTTAAAAAGCACATTCATTTTTTGAAAATCTTCTGCCTTATGCTTCCCTGAAGTGACTGAAATCCTTTTGTCTATACCATGAATCAAAATTACCTTCCTGTAGCCAAGTGGTATTAATCTGCCTCTACAGATTTG